GGAGGTACTGAATTCAAATATAAGACCGGCCTTATTGCAAATGATACCGACCGCCGACGAATACAGTTACTAAATGGGCTCTTCAGATATGATATAACTTTATTCATTCGAAGGATAGTTATGTCATGACAAGTTAAACGGCCACTAAAATAGTATGTAGAAAGTAGTTATCTCTTAGAGTAACCTAATTTTGTTGTGTTGGTAAAAACAGTACAGTTTATGAATTCCTGTGATTATCAATGTTCGTATCAACAACAACAGTTTATTTTATAATAATTCAGTCAGATTTTTAATTTATACAGCTTGTCGTATCGTGTATAATTTTTTTCTTCTCATAGTAACTAGTGAAATAAATTTTCCCAGCCTTAAAACACAGTTTATTATTAATTCGAAGTATTTACTTGAATGAGAAGCTTTATCAAGAAAGTCAATTTAATTTTCTCTTCCGCACTCTATCAAAAGTTAGAAACCCTTTGATAATTGATTTAAACGAACAACCTAAAAGTAATTAACTCGCATAACTTTGAAGATCAAAGTTCGTATTGACGTAACTGGGGTATATTTATATTTGTAATTTAACTAAATATTCTAATGTATGTTAAAAATCAGCAGTCGTTAAAGAAATCGAATTTAATCAATTCACGTGTGAAAAAATTACTCAATAGATAAACATTCAGCTATCCTAAATTCAATTTTCTTTGATCAATTTATATTTTTTCGGGATCGTTTTCCTGTTCCAATTTTACTTTATTTTCCAGCGACCGTTAAATGTACTTAACCCAATTTTTGTGACCAAATGCCATTGTGTCATCACTTAAATTAGAAATTACTTTCAGTCGTTCATATTTATTTTACTTTAATCTCTCGTAAACTTCACGAAATTGTGCCTTTATAAATGAACTACATTTTTACGATGAGTTAATAATTGTCACGGTTTTAGACAATAATTAAAGGTTGTAAAACGGATAAATCTAATATTTATAAACAGACCATGAATTAAAAGTAAACGAAAAAAAAAAAAATTAGTGCTGTTAACTCGGTCAATAATAATTACTGAAAAGTGTCTGTTTTTCCCAATGAGATAGAGCCGTTTCTTCTTAAGTTTTGTATGGTGCTATTTACGTTTGGCTTTTTAGTTCTCCACTAAAGATCAAGGTTTTTGAAAGTTGGCACCCCTGGCACTAGCTAACCGCTGATGGATAAATAGATCAAATTTAAACTACTATCTACCGATTCATCTTGTCATGTGACTTCAAGTCACGCGTATGGATGTTGGAATAATAAGTTTGTACAAAGTAGGTCGAGGGGCCTGGGTTCGTACAACAATCATTTTGCTGTCAACCGGATTCTATTGGCGCTGTTCACCTTTTTAAATTTTGACGTCGCGGTACTTAAAGCTTAGTAGCTTAGTTAAATAGTTAAGAAAGTTTACATAATTTCTGCATAATTAACGGCCGTTTTCTCCTGTTTTTATAAAATTATTTTGAAGTACGTATTTTGAGTAGGTCAATGCACTAATGATACATGTTTTTTTTTGGCAGTATACGAGTGTCGTATGTCTGAAGACACCTTGAAATAAGCATAGTACAAATAAACGCTTTCCCTTTTTTTAGGGACATTTTATGTATTTCATAACTGACTTTTCCATCAATTTTTTGAAAATACCATTGATATTTTATTTTTAATCCATATAATTTAGTTTTTTTTTACTTAAATAAGTTATAGCAACTTTAGTTTTACGTGATATCGTTTTTCTTCAAAACTAGTTCAAACGATTTCAAACACAATAAAATACTCATTTCATAGAAAAGTCTAGCCGTAAAACGTATTGCCTATCAGCTCTTACGATCGTAACCTAGAAACTTCAGGCTACCTACGTAACCTTAAATTATACTTTCACAAAACTACGCGTATTATATTGAGTACAATCCATATATCTTTTTTTTTTACATTATACATTACATAGAGCACCACCGGCTGTGGAATCCGAGCTGAGTATACTTTTTATTAGAATTAGTTATGAGTTAAATTACTTGAAGATTTTTATTCTGTCTAGCTATTAAGCTGTATGTTCTGTAATCCAGCCAGCCGATCCATTAAGGTCTGAATTTTGGGACATTAGTAGATAACTGGAGCGTATGTTATACTTATAGCTAAGCTTTTTAATTCAACGCGGTCAAAGTCTGTGGCGATAGCTCGTGTTGTATAACCGTCGAAGTAAAACACAAACAAGTTAGTACAACGTACTAGTTACGTATGTATGAATACATCAATTTATTCGCTTGTTTGTCTCCCCGGTACGTTGCTAGCCGCAGATCTGGCTGAATGCCAAACGACTTGGTTATTCCAACATAAAACAATACGTGTATATTCCTTTTGGTAAATACATTTTTTAAGTTTTAATTTTTAATCCAGTAAGAATGGCTTGATCGGATAAAAATTGGTTAAAAATTGAGGTTTTTATTTCACCAAATTGTGATATAGATTTGGTATGAGAATTTTACACTTGGGATCTCTTCAAGTAACTATTAAGGATTGTGTGTAGGCCTTAAGTAACTTTGATTAACTAAGGAAAGGTTTCCAACACACCACAAGTCTGCTCTTCTGTTGAACATCAAGTCAACATTGTTGCAACCGTTACTTAGTTTTATAGCCACTACTGAGCCACTACTATAGTATATAATCAATTTGACTGTTTGTTTTCTTTGAACCTTTATTTACATAGATTAAGTTATTTTGTTAAAGTTTCATTGGTAAATAATTGTTTAAATAGGTTTATATTAAGACATGCTATTTATAATAGAAACAACCTTATTTCAAACATAACAAATAGTGCACAAGATGTAATAAATAACTTTATTTTTTAAACATGCAACATGCTACAGGTATACAACTCATCTCTTTTTTATCTCTTGTTTTTTATCATCTAGAAGTAAAACACTTTCTTATTAAAACATACGTAGTTATGAAGATGAGGCATTAATCAATTTATTAAGTAGCCAAAGATATTTATATTAAAGCCAAAATATTAAGAAAAAAGTGTTTTTGTCTATCAGCTATCAAACTCTTTCGTTATCGTCTCGCGTGACAAGAGCTCAGTAAATTACAGTGAGTAAACGCTAGCCGCGCACGCCACTCACGAAGCCGCAATACTCGAAAGAATTTCAAACGACGTCTATTTTCACTGTCCCATATAATGCACAATAAAAAATGCACAATTTATAGTATTCAGTGTCTAATTAAACTAGTTGATACGAAAAACAAGTTAGTTTCGTTGCAGAAATATATTTATGCGGCTTAATAGCACGAGGTTGCAGGAGGTTCCTGTATTAGGACGACCGAGGGCCATGGCAGCAGTAAGCAACATGTGGCTATCATGATGATGAAAGCTGCTATGAAAAGAAAGCAGCCTAGTGACTAATAGCTCTGATAATTTGGTACCTTTTCGTGATTGTTTTATGGTACTATTAAAAAAAATCTTAGCCGCAAAATAAAGAAACACTACAAGATGTAAAAAAAATCCTTAAGAAGTTGCCCAGCCGAAAGTCAACTGTGCCCTTGTAACTTAAATAATAAGATATATTCAAATAAAAAAAAACTGTATAATAAATTACGGCATTACATTATTCATAGCAAGGGTTTTGTTGAAAAAAGTGTTAGACCTGTTTCAACATTCCTTCGTCTAGCTCCGTGTAATTTTGTTAATGGTTATATCGGAAATTTATGTACAGACATAAATTGTCGGCTAAAGTTTCTATCGGAAGGATTAACTGAGAAGTGCATTTGAAATTATATTGCTTTTAATAGACGATATTATTATACTGTCGTAGATAAATTATGATACCCCTTATTACTTTATATGTTAAGTAGATGTGCCCGCGACTCTGTCGGTACGGAATTATAAAAAAAACTGAGTAGGCTACGTGTTCTTCCAGACTACCCTATACATTTATAATAATTTCATCGCGATTAGTTCAACAGTTTAGAACACAAATTCTGACAAACATCCATCGATCTAAACTTTCGCATTTATAAGATTAGATTAAATTTTTTTTATTAGTAAGATTAATCAATGCTGTCATCAGTAACAGGACTTTTTTTAAGGTGTCATTTTTCTTTACTTTAATAGGTCTGTTTTTTAGAAATGTTGCAAATAACCAAATAATTTAGGGAATGTACAATATATATGTTAGAATGTGGAAATTAAATTAACGCTTTACGCTAATGGTAGAAATGCCAACATTTAAATGTCACATCTAGTAAAAACGTCGTCGACACTACAGCTGTTTGTTTAGGAACCGTTGCGTAGGTGTTTTTGTAAGAGCTCCTGCCGCTCAGAGATACGGGAGTTTTTGTTGCGTATACTAATGTTATCTTTCAATTCAAAACCTAATGTTGTTTTTACCTTTCAAATACATCTCAGGAAAAAGTAAATATTTTTCCCTACAGGTTTATTAACGGTTATTGATTTCTGAAAAAATAAAATCAATTAATTGGTGTTAAATATTGTATACTTTGAACTAACAAGAGGCCGACCTGATTGACACATAACGCATCTAGTAGCTTCCTCATTCCGTTTTATATTTTACAATAGGAAAAATAATGTCAAAAGCCATAGTGCAAGGAAGAGTTTGATTTTAAACTTTTTATTTTCTTAGAAATCTTTCTGGGATGTTCGAAAATATACTTTGTGGCATTGATAACAATGATTTTTATTTTTAACTAGCTTTCGCTTATGAATCCGTCCGTCTGTAATTAAAAAAAAAACGAAAGTTAGTAGCCTGTGTTCTTTCGGCGTATACTCTACATCTATACCAAATTTTATGGTGATCCGATCAGCAGTTTAGGCTATAAACTAGCAAATATTCATCTTTCAAACTTTCGTATTTATAATATTAATAAATCGATAAACCAACCAATAGGTACCCCACCATACGGGATGCTAGCTAGACATAAAAAGAGGGAAATTAGATAAATAACAATGTTTATTTCTTCCGCAGTTTTCTCGAAAGGACAATGCGAGACAGGGCAGTACCGCTTCCTGGCGAAGACCGGAGGTTACGCCTGGGTTCAAACTCAGGCCACCGTCATCACAGACAAACAACAAAAGCCAATCAGCGTCGTATGTGTCAACTACGTAATCAGGTAGGTCTAGATGTAAACAAAATTATTTTTCGTGCTATTTTATGTTGATTTAACAGTGATTTTTCGATAAATTGAGGATTAAAAGAAGTGGAGATAAGGTGAGTAAAGATTTTTATTTATTTTGTTTATATTGTAGTTAGAAATGAAGGGTCTACCGCTATTTTACATTTTGATTGCAATGGTTTAATAATAAAATTTAAAACTAAGTACTATACAATGAACGAAATGATGAAAAACGTCTCTATAGGTAATTAGCACATAACTGATATACGTTGAATCAATGATATGTAAAATACAATTAAACCCATATTAATGTTTGTTTGAATGAAGTATTTAGGTCCTTCTAAATCTTTTGCCACATATACACTATATTTTATTGCTGTTTTATAACCAAAAGTCGACTAGAATGTTAACAATCGATTTCTTATAATATTTTTATTTCTAGTAACGTATACTAGAAAATACTTGTTATTTGCTATGAATGTAGGCAACGTTATAAAACATATTAACTGTACATAGACAATCACCTGATCGTGTCGTGTTGAATCAATAAATATATATAGATAACGTAAGATAAGAAGTACAAAGTAAACCGCTATCCTTGTGATGTAACAGTTAAAGCCAGCTTAACTTTTGACAAGGATATTTGCTTTATTGTAAGTTGATATGATAAATAAAATGAAGTATGGAAACGGGAGTCGATACGAGCATAAAACAGTATTGTCTGTGCGTAACCCAATCTCGCTCTGCCAAGAAACACTCGGAGTGTGAACTGATAGAGTCCGCAATAACATCTTTTGCACGAATGTACAGAAGACGCGAAGATATTCCGCGTTTCGTTCTATGAGCGTGAGTACCGTCTCATTCCGCTTAATAGGAAACGCAGATGCGTCTATGAACATCGGTCACATTGCTATGTTTGACGAACTCAAGTGGCCATTTGCTCGTTTGCCACCGTTTACTATTAAAAACAATTTTGAAACAACAAAATATCTCTCCCATTCTCTTTCAAAAAAATAGAGATAGAGTGTATTCTTACAGACTGAGTGAAGTTCTGAAATCACACTTTCACGTTAAATTGTGTTTAAATACACTAATTTTATTGTCATACAGTTTAAGATCTTGTTTACGAGTATTGTAGTGGAAAAGCCGTTTGCAATCCACTCGTGGTGATAATTTTTGTTTTGTTATCGTTTAATTCAACACAATTAAACCTGGAAGGAATGGTATAGTACGATTTTTTTCTGTTTTTTTTTTTAATGTTTTTCTCTTTTTAAAACACATCTCAGATGTTCATTCAGTTTATTATGGTTGAAATCTTTGAAATATCGTATTCACAGAGTTGTATAATTTTGCTCAACCTAAACGCCGTAAAGTTTCATTATGTTTTTACGACAGCGACAAAAGCTCACGCTGGCTGTGCGACATAAACTAAATTATTTTCACCTGCTTTATTGCCGCTTGTTTTCATTTGCTGAAATATTTTTTGTTGAAATATTGCGGTATAAAATATCAAAGATGTGTTTAAACAAGTTAAAGTAGGTTAGGTATTTTCAACACTTACAGAGATATTTTTGCACTTACGCCGAAAAAATAAAAAAAATATTGTCTATTTAAAAAAGTCATTTACTACAATTTTCTTTCATCAATCTAATATTTACGTAGATATACTATTGTGTGCATAACTTGAATACAACTCAAAATAATTCATGTCCAAAAATATTCTTTCAAATAAACAAATATGATATCACGCAATAAATTACGTTGTTAAAGTCAGAACAGCCAACGCCCGAACGCTAAATTGACCCTCGCTGTAGCCACTAAAATATTCAATCATAGCAATAAAGCCGGCCAGTAGGTAACAGCAAATGGATACATATGAGTATGTATTTTTCGTGTAAGAAATGACAATACGTTTAATGCTTTGCGAAATTTAATATCAAAAAATATTTACAAAATTTACACGACAGTGGTTAAAATCTATTAACTATACAGTTGTATTGACACTTAAATTTTTGCCTGCACACAGTTTCAACTAAACAGTTCGATTATTCATCAATTTAACTTTCAGAGACTTTAGTTAATCTTCTTAATAGTTGTTGTGGAAACGTTTTTATCCAAATACATAAATATATAAAGGATATATGAAGGAAAATATCGTGATGCAACCTGCACATATCGGCGAAGAAATTCAAAGATATGTATGAAGTCAACCAGCACTGGGCCAACATGGTTGAATAAAGCCCCGTCACCCCTTACTTAGGGTAGGCTCCGAGCCACTCAGTGGGGACTTATAGTGAGCTGGTGATGACATAAATATGTGTCCTTATCGGCCTAAAATGAAAGTTATCATTGTTGTATATTTGATAGACCCGCAGATAACTCGATAATAATGATAACGGTCTTGAATCGTATTTTGACAAGGGTGCTTTTACGCACAAAATATAACTTAATGATAACGGTTGATTGTGTCTAAACATAATGGTTGGTAGTTTTAGTTTCTATACTTCTGAAACAGGTTGAATCGAAAACATGTTATAAATTATTACAGAAGTATTATATAATATAATTGTACATAGAAAGTTAATTTAAGTAATTATAACGAAAAAATACGGTTTCTAGATTGAAAACGACTTGTGGGACAACTTTTGTTGAAACTTTCCTGAAAAGTAACTTACTTTGAAAGTAAATGGCATTGAAACTTTAAATTTAAATTAAAACTTTGTTGAAATTGTAAATTGAAAGCTTATATTTTCATAAGCCCTTGACATGACGGCAACCTGTATAATGTTTTATATAAATTCTTATCAACCCACACCGAATAATCAATCTCTTACGGTAGTTTACTTATTTTTTTTTTATTCGTAATTTTGTGTGAAAAATAGAAAGCAAATTAAAAAGGTACTATATGAAGCCCAAGGATGTCCTCGTGTTTTGCGAGTTATTCAATTAGCAAGTAATAGCGTTTGCTATAGAGTGGTCGTAACAAAAATTTAATAGCCCCGCAATTTATTGCTGGAACTTTAGTTCCACTTTGACTTCCAAATCACTTTTCACTTTAATGTACTTCCTTACACATCTGTTCAGAGAATTTTAGTTACCGTTTTTAGAACAAAAAGATGAATACTTCAGCTTTTTCCATCACCTCACACTGGTTAAGATTTTTAACACTGGTCGATATTAACTGCGGCATAAATGGCCCCTTCGCCGCTATACGGTCTGCGGTAACACTCCATTTATTATGTCGTCTTTTTGGGTGTTTGTTATCCACCTGCGAAGTCGAAGTGCTTTCCTAGTTATTGTGAAAGTGTTTAACATAAGTATCTAGTAAAATGTGTTCGGTTTGCTTGTTGTTTGCTTCAATGGAAAATTTATCTTATCAAGCGGTGACAGTTGACAGTAGATAAGGCGTGTTAAGTGCACCGAGCCGTAGTGTCATCGGATGCAGCTAAGGTTGGGGTTATCTGCATTCGGTTGCTAAGCTTCCTCTTTTCTATGAATCCTTGTCAGTTTCATTTTAAATACAAAATAGTTGTACACCAACCCTTTATCTATATAACAAATTAGAAAGCAAAAGTGTATTTGAATTTTTGCTTGATTAGAGTGATGCTATTTTTGTATGTGATTCATTTAATTTAGCCTATATCTAACAAACTAGGTATTGCTATCAACTTCGTCTGCTTTAAATACAAAAGTAATAAAATAGTATACCCTATGTTACTCATAGATAAATTACATTTCTAATGGTGAAGGAATTTTTAAAATTGGCTCAGTATTTACGTTAACCGAATACATATAGAAAAATATAAATCTTTCCTCTTGAGAATATTAGTATAGTTTGATGTAATATCTAAAGCAACGTTTAATCCTATTTATACTTTTTTTCCGAAGCATAGTTTAGTGTTAAATTGTCATGAAATAGACATTACCGTCAAAATTGATGGCAATCTGCGACATGCGTGGATAACGTGCCGCTATCAGTGTCTCCTTATCGAACGTTGTATAACGTAATTGCCTATAAATATTGACTGAACGTTACGCTTTCAAAGTGCCAGCGGGTAATCTTTATATGTTAAAAGTATTTGATTTATCGTAATTAGATTCGCAGATGGAGTGTAACTTTTACACTCAGTGATGCTAAGGGTTATCACAGTTGCTTAGTTCAGTTATCTTAAACTCGATCTAAAGTTACGGCTATTTTAATGCGGCGGTATAAAATAAGTCTACAAAGTTCAAATTTTCTCAAATCAATGTTCAAATCATAAGTTTTTTTTTTAGTTACGTTTATTGGTATAAAATCAAACTTTGTACATATTATTATGTTAATTCTTCTACACGTGTGGCCTTTCTTTAAAAGAAACCTTATAACTGCCACAAAAAGACGTACTAACAAGTCATTACATGCTTTATCAATTGACATTAACATGTAACATAACTTTTATCATCAATGATATTGTTCAATACCTTTCATCGTAATTGCGCCTTGTGTGTCAATAAATGTATGATTGTAATGTATGTATAAATGTATGAAGCAAACTGAACTGATTACATTACAAATTGTATGACAATCGTGATTTACTGCAACATTGTACATGATTTGCATGTTACAAATTAATTAATAATACTTCTATAGTATCCTATGTTATTTGTCCAACTATTTTTTCATGTGCTATCCGAGATTAAAAAATATAAAGGGGAGGCGTAGTCAACACTTCACTTTAGGCATTTGTCACATTATCTCACTAAAGCATCTTTTAATGGTCCTCAAAACTACGTGTCATAATTAATTGTATTTAAATTAATGGACAATAGATGTCATGAAAAAAAAAATTGTTCACTATGCCTAAGTCTATAAAATTTCTTTGTGTGCTATGCTATCGAAGATCCCGATTTCACATACCTTTTCTCATTCTAATGTCTTCTCTGTACGACAAATATTGAGTAAATAATTACAAACTATGGTTAAATAAACAGTGGTACGCTGTTTGAAAGTTTAAAAT